ATTGGATCCAGGTAGGAATGCTTGGCTCCTCCCCTGGGCAGAGCATCTCCCCATGGATGATGGAATTTTCTCAGCCATGCAGGGACACTCAGTGGTCATGGACAGCAGATATCTCCTGGAGGGAGGATGGGCTGTGGGAGCGATAAAGAAAAAACTGCCCCATGGACAGCAGAGAACTGCCCCACCTCTGACAGATGGGAATTGAACACACATTTATCTTACAACCCAGGACACGGAGGCTTGAAAAGCTCTGCAGAGCCTTTGGGTGGATCCCATTTGCCCAAGCAAGCTGTGAGTGTACAGATGGTGTGGACTGACCATTTCTCTTGCATTCTGGGGTTTTGTTCTGCTCCCCATCCCTGCATTCCTCTGGCTGCCCTGAGAACAGGGTTTTGCTGTTAAAGACTGAAACAGATAAGGCATTTGAAGCCTCAGATTTCTACCACATCCAGCAGAGAATGGAGTTTCTCCCTCGTCATGTATTTATAGAACTATTTTTATTGTCCTTTACAGTAGTAACCAGGTTAAGTTCTAGCTGGACTTCGGTCCTTCTATTTTCTCCTTTCATAACCTCATAACATCCTTCTATTCCTCCTGAGCTGCCTTTTGCTCTTCCAAAGGTTAGGAATTCTCCTTTTCCTCTAAATCCCAGTCAAAGCTCTCTGTCCAGCCAGGCTGGTCTTTTTCCTGCCTTGATTTATTGGGACAGGCTCCTCCTGTGCCTTTAGGATTTCCTTCCTGAAGGATGTCCAGCCTTCCTGGACTCCTCTGCCCTGCAGGAAAGGCTCCCAAGGGAGTCTCGGCCAGGCTCCTGGACAGTCCCAATCTGCCCTCTGAGTGTCCAAGGTGGCAGATCTGTTCTCCCCCCACTTCCTTCCAAGAATCAAAGCTAGGAGTAACTTCTCCATCCCAAAGAAGAACAAAGTCATTCAGGTTCCCAGCTTAGGAGTAAATAAAGCTGTCCCTTCTGAGAGCTGATCTCCAGGGACAGCTTTCCTCACCCCCGGACTCCTCTGCCCCCAGGGAGCAGCACTTGGGGCTGCAATTTTCCAGCTGAACTCCTTAATAAATGCCTGGGTCCTTTGATGCCTTTCTGGAAGAGGAAGGGGACAGGAGGAACTTGTTCCTGGGCCAAAGCTTTGTGGTCAAACAGCCCCTTGATGGCATTAAATGGCAGGAGAGGATGTTTGAAGTGTGATAGACAGGAGAAAAGGACAGGACAGTTACCAGGGTTGGGATCTTGTCAGATCTCACAGATAAATGGGCCCCCAAAGCTACCCAGGGCTCCTGTTTAATAGGGACAATGTGCAGGGAACACACTGAAAACAGGTTCCCACTGTTTTATCAAACAGCCAGATCTGACAGAGCCTCCAGACCCGTGGGCAGCTCCCGGATATCGAATTGCTCGCTTGGCTCTTGTTTGTGAGAGATGTAAATCAATGTCCTCACTATTTGAGGATGCTGGAAATTGGTTTGCTCTTTTGAAAATGGAAGAGTTTGTCTCAGTGTGCTGGCAGAGTTCTCAGCAAGATTGCTGCTTTTACTCCTCTTAAATGCTGTCCTCACATTTGGCTACAGCTCCATTTCCTCCCTCTTGGGTGTTCATTGTGTGATATTAAGAAGAATTTACAAGCTGCTTACAGAGGGGGTGGAGCCTCATGACAGGACCTGTCCTCTGAGAGGCTGGGAAATATCTGCACTGAACTCAGAGAAACAAGATATTTAGGGTTTTTTTATTAAAAAAAGAGTAGGCTAAACCTTTCTTCCTGTAGCATTCCCAGTGTTTTTTTCACAGCTCTGGTTCCAAGGAGTTAATTCTCTGTGTCTGTGCCTGAGTTTTGCTGTGGGTTTTGGAGAATAACAAATAACAATAACAGAGTGGGCAGAGACCAGGCCTGCAGCCACAAAGTTCTCTGCAGCTCTGTGGGGTGAAAGGTCTGTGATGGAGCAGAGCTTTGAGCAGGAACAGTTCTGCAGCCAGTTGTTAAATTCCAATTGGTGTTTGAAATGTCTTTATTTTATCTCTGATTTTTTGATTTTTTTTTAATTAATACGTTCTGGGTGTTTCTAGTTGCTTGTGCTGTAACTTGCTCACATTTAATTGAAAGAAGTGTGTGTGAGAGAGAATAAAAAGCACTGTTTGATCTTCCTGGTGTTCATTGTCAGAGGATCATGGAATAGTTTGGAGATGGAAGGGTCTTTTTAAAGGTCACCCAGTGCCACCCCTGCCATGTCAGGGACACCTCCCACTGTCCCAGGCTGCTCCAGCCCCAGTGTCCAGCCTGGCCTTGGACATTCCAGGGATCCAGGGGCAGCCCCAGCTGCTCTGGCAATCCCAGCCCAGCCAGGAATTCCTCATTCCCAAGATCCCATCCCTGGCTGCCCTCTGGCAGTGGGAGCCATTCCCTGGGTCCTGTCCCTCCATCCTTGTCCCCAGTCCCTCTGCAGCTCTCCTGGAGCCCCTGGAATGTGCTGGAAGCTCTCCCTGGATCCTTCCCTTCTCCAGGGGAACATTCCCAGCTCTCCCAGCCTGACACTGGATCCATCTCCTCTCCAAGAAATTCTTGCCCCAGGGGCTTCACTTGGAATCCCAGGAAGCCATGAAGGGTCTTCCTTCCCTTTTCCTCTCTTTTCTATCCCCATTTTCCATAAAAATCCCTCAGGATGGATCCTGAGTGTCCCAAATCCCAGAATCCTGGACCAGCTTGGGTGGGAAGGGACCTCAAAGCTCATTCCAGGGCCACCTGCCATGATCTCAGGGTGCTCCAGTCCTTCCTGGGACATCCCAGGGATCCAGGGGCAGCCCCAGCTGCTCTGGCAATCCCAGCCCAGCCAGGAATTCCTCATTCCCAATCTCCCATCCCTGGCTGCCCTCTGGCAGTGGGAGCCATTCCCTGGGTCCTGTCCCTCCATCCTTGTCCCCAGTCCCTCTGCAGCTCTCCTGGAGCCCCTTCAGGCCCTGGAATGTGCTGGAAGCTCTCCCTGGATCCTTCCCTTCTCCAGGGGAACACTCACAGCTCTCCCAGGCTGGCTCCAGAGCAGGATCCATCCTCACCTCACCCTCACCTGCTGCTCTGGCTTTAAATGTGAGACCAACGTGTGAACCATGAGCTTGCAGTGAGCCAGAGGTACAGAGTTTGGGATCACAGTGCAGGAAGAAAGCAGCCTCTTGATTAACTGAGCCTGAGGCTGGTGTAACCTGGCACCCATTTATTGTGATTATTTATAAATTGGCACCGTGCTTGGGCTGTTGTGTGCTTGATCTTGCTCTGCCTTAGCCCTGGTGCTGCTCCTCTGGTCAGAGCCCAGCTTCAGGCAGCTCCCTGTGCCATTCCTCACTCCTGCCACGTTCCTTCCACCCTTCTGCTGGGTCTTTTGACATTTCTTCAGCTTCTTGGAAAAGTTTCACAGTGAAAAAAATAATAAAAAAATCTGTTGAGGAGTTGAAACCATGGGAGTCATCTGTCACCCAGCAGCCTTTTCAGAGCTCAGCCCCAGTCAGATGAAACAGCCTTTGGGTTTTAATTTTGATCCAAGGATCTGCCATGGTGGATGGCACAGAGTGTAGATCTTCCCAGATGCTTTTAATTCACTTTGCCTTGAAGATACTTACTTCACATAAGTGTTTAAATATATTTATTAAATGTTTCCCCCAGTCTTTAACAGAGCCACGCTTTTGTTGTTGCTGGGTGTTATCTGTAAATTAAGAAATGTTGCTTAATGAACCTACTTAAAACAAGCAGAGTCTCTCTTGCTTTCCCATCCCCTGTCGCTTAGCAACAGGATTTCTCCCTGTGCAATCCCTGTTACTTCAGGACCATATCTGCAATATCCTCTCTAATTCTTCTCACTTTACCCTTCTAGAAGCCTTGCTGGAAGATTTGAGGAACTTCATCAACCCCTTGACAGACGTAATAAAGCAGAAAAAGATAAAATCAAACAATCAGTCACTTCGGCAGTGTAAACTTTGCTGAATTCATCAGCAGTCTCTTAAGCTTGATAGTGTTTGTAATGAAAATTCCTCTCTTGTGAAGAAAATAGCAAGGAAAACCAGCTGGGGTGGAAACTGAGGGGGTTTCAGCTCCTTAAAACACATTCAGGGGATTTGTAGGGATATTGTACTTTCCCATTTATGTATATCTTAATTGCAGCAGACTTCCTCTTATTTCCTAACACGGAATTTACACCATGAATTGTTCCTAATTCAATCCAATGTTGTAATCAATGTTGTATTCAATGTTGTCATTCTGTCCAGGGAAGCCCCCAGGCAAACTGACAGTCCAAGTGTTTCTGGTTTCCTTGTTCATTCTTGGTTGCTCCACGTGTTGGGAGTTCTGTGAAGCCAGAGGAGCTCCCGTGCTGCTTCTTCAAGGTGCTGCTGTTGGGTTCAATTGAAAAAATCTGGGATTAAAATCTCTTGCAGTGCGAGACTCCAGCCTTCTGGAAATCAAAGAGGACACAGACCTGGATCCAGAGGAGAACAGCGCTGTCTTCATGGGAATCCTCATCAAGGGGCTGGCCAAGCTGAAGAAAATCCCAGAAACAGTGAAAGCCATCCAGGATCGCTTGGAACAGGAGCTCAAGCAGATCGTGAAGCGCTCCACCACTCAGGTGGCTGACAGCGGGTACCAGAGAGGGGAGAATATTTCCCAGGAAAACCAGCCTAGGTAAGGAGATTTCAGCTCCCAGCCCTTGATTGCTGATAAAAATAATAATAAAACAATTCCTAATTGATAATATGATTTGAAATTAGAAAATTCAGCTCGGTGATTTCGAGTGTAGTAGAGTTCAATTAAGCTGATGCAGGTGCAAAGCTTTGAAATCATGTATGGAACTAATTCTATCACAAATGCATGGCCAAGTCTCTAATTGTTTTGCAGCCCCACTTACATTTATAGCAAAGTGTGGAAGCCAACTGAGCACTGTGTTTGTGCTGCTCCTCAGAATTCACTGGAACTGGCCTTTGGAACAAAAGGATTCCAGCAGGAATCTCTTCCAGCTGAAATATTAATCTTCATATTGTCGTGATCATTGTCCAAAGGGAATTAATGGCAGAGAAGTAAAGTGTGTATCTTCATTATGTGCAATATTTGTAGTGGGAAATCACTCCCAAGGAAAACATCAGTTTGATAAGAACTCCATTTTAATTCCTCTCATTAGCACTGCTGTGGAAACAATTCTGTTTTGAAGACTTTGTAGAGATACACTGCTGATAACTCAGTGAAAATTAGCTTTATTTGGATGGGTCAGAAGGCAGAGTTCAGTTTCTGATGCCAGGAGTGTAACATATTCTTGATACTTGTTTTATGAACCAGTCTGGAGAGGTTGTGTGGCTCCTGGTTGTCTGTTGGAATTGATAAATTGGAGTAGATCATATATCAATGCCATTAACCTGCCCAGAGGGTTGAGTGAGGCACACAAAGGTTTAATGGGTTTTGGCATCTGTTGCAGAGTGTGAGCCTTTAAGATGCTCATATTCTAGAGCCATGGAAAGTGTCCTGAATTCTTGTGGAATACAGACATAATTAGAACTGGTTCTAAAGCTAAATCACACGTGAAGTTTACAGCAAGCAGGTGAATTCATTTATATTGAAAAGAATAAATTACAGTATGGGCGTCCCCACCCCTTAAATTAGCTTTGGTCTTAAATCAAAGCTCAGAGACTTTCCTACTGTCAGGGGAGAAATAAATCTGAACAACAAGGCCCTGCTGCTTCTACAGAGCAGAAAGACCCCAAATAAGTATATAAGACCCCAAATTTGAGCATAATGCAGTGCCAGGACTGCTGAAGGATGATCCCTGAAGTCCCTTCCAACCCAAACCATTCTGTGTCTGAGGATGAGGCTGATGATCTGCTTTGGGAAATTTTGGTGTAATTCCTTTTGAGGCCCCATGCAGCAATGATTTAGAGCCCCTCTTGTTGTACAAGACAGAAATGATTTGTAGAACCTGGCCAGAAAACTGCAGATCTGATAGCAGCCACTGCTGATCTCATTCTTCCTACTTTTAAAATTTAACTCTCCTTCCCTTTCCTTCCTTCCTTAATAAGCTTTTCCATGTAGCTTTGTGCTGCCATCTTTTACACTGGTGTATAAAAATATTGTTAATTACTCCCAGATTTTTAAACTCAGTATTTTTCTGGTTTATGATGACTCTTTGAGTGCTCTCTCAGATCCTTAGAGCTTCAGGAAAGGCAGGAGCAGGTTCCAAGCAGATCCTTGTCCCCGAGGGAAGATAACTTTGAAAACTCTGCCTGAATCTGAGCTCAGCTGTAAGTGGACAATTTTAAAGCCTAAGGAAATTCTCTAACATTTTTAGATCTCTGTGCTTGAAAGAAGTTTATGGAGAAAGGCTTAACTATAGGAATTGCCACTGCCTTATCCTTAATGAGTGGCTCATTAGATGAGTGGCTCATTAGTCACACTTTCACATTTAGAAATCCTTATCTGGGGTTGTGGAGGACAAAATGTCCCAGAAGAGGCCGTGTTGAGTTTCCTTGGGGTGCTGCTGCACAAACCTGTGGGACTCTTCTGAATTTTGGAAGAGTTTGCACTTCAGAATAACAATGTGGGTGGATGCCTACTTGAGGGACAGATTTATGGGACATTTTGGTAAGGAAACATTAAAAATCCAGTCCATGAAGAGATGGAAGATTGACACTTTTGCTCCTAAATCCTCTTGCTTGGATGCCATGTGCTTTTCCCTACACATCCATATTATATTTTGACTTTTGCCCTCATCTCCAGGCTTTGAAATAAACACAAGAATTATGTCCAGGCCACCTCTCTGGTCATCACTTCACTCCCATTATTTCCTGGACTGTGGAAGTCCCTTCTGGGTGTGTCACTGTCCCCAACACATTTCCCTCCCTCTGACAGGGGTTATGAGGTGTCTGTGACAAATTTTCCTGTCACTGAGTGTCCCTGTTCAGCTCAGGGCACTCCCTGCTCCAACCCCATCCAGGCCAGACTGTTTGATGCAATTTGCAATTTGTATTGATGCCATTTGATGGGTTTTGTCTCGTTGCCTCTGTCTCTTTTGGGTCACCTTCTTTCAAAAATGACCTGACAGATTTATAGGACTTTTGGGGGAAAGGAAATGAGATAAGAGGTGCTGGCTAAGCTGAAAGCAGGGAGATGTGGGATATTGAAATCTTGACATGTCAGCTCTGATAAATAGTGCTGGCTTTCCAATAAAAACTGTTTTTTCTCAAAATCTTCAGAATTCCTAATTTTTTTTTTAAAGCTGACATTTCCCTAATTATATTTTTGAAGGTTAGCTTTGTCCCTGAGCCACAACATCTGTAACAAAAAAATAAAGGAGCCAGAGAAATTAAGAGCCCCTGGAACCAAGATACCTATTCAAACAAAACCCAATAAATTGTGTATGGATCCCTTTTCTTGCTATTTCAGGATAGCAGCAAATGCTGAAAAATGTGACACTATGGAACCAAATTAATTCTCTACCACTGAGAAAATGTTCTCAGTGCCAGCCCAGCTTCTTCCAACATCCCATGACAAACTCAGTTATCCACACACCTCCTTGCTGCCTCAGGAAAGAAGAGTTTTGCAGAACTGAACTACCTGGAGAGTTGGACAAGTTCACTTTATTCTCACTAGGTGAGCCTGAACTTTGTTTATGGAGCCATGACTGAGGTGATACTGCACTCATCAGATCCTCTTTTCTTTGGAATTCCAGTGTCTCCCACATTCCAGACTGATGGACGTGAAATCCTCCATTTTCTCAGTGGTAGAGAATTATTTTGGTTCCATAGTGTCACATTTTTCAGCATTTGCTGCTATCCTGACATAGCAAGAAAAGGGATCCATACACAGTTTATTGGGTTTTGTTTGAATAGTTATCTTGGTTCCAGGGGCTCTTTATTTCTCTGGCTCTTTTATTTTTTTTCGTTACAGATGTTGTGGCTCAGGGACAAAGCTAACCTTCAAAAAAAAAAAAAAAATTAGGGAAATGTCAGCTTTAAAAAAACCCAAAAATTAGAAATTATGAAGATTTTGAGAAAAAAACAGTTTTTATTGGAAAGCCAGCACTACTTATCAGAGCTAACATGTAAAGATTTCAATATCCAGAAAGGTTAGAAAGTAAGCCAAATGTTTTCTATGGTTCAAGCATTTCTGTAATTAGTATTTTGTCCCTTACAATAGAAGCTCTTAGCACTTGAAAGAGAAGTGGCCAGAATCCTGCTGTAATACTTAACCTCAAAACATGGTATAGATTTATAATCATTAAATAAAAATGCAGAAAAGTCGAATTGAGATGTTTGAGTGGAGAAGGTCACAAATTAATTCAGAGGGCTGGAGCCAGGCTGGGAGAGCTGGGGTGCAAGGCTCCAGGGAGAGCTTCCAGCACATTCCAGGCCCTGAAGGGGCTCCAGGAGAGCTGAAATTTGGGAAAAGCCTGGAGGGACAGGACCCAGGGAATGGCTCCCACTGCCAGAGGGCAGGGATGGATGGGATCTTGGGAATGAGGAATTCCTGGCTGGGCTGGGATTGCCAGAGCAGCTGGGGCTGCCCCTGGATCCCTGCAATGTCCCAGGAAGGACTGGAGCACCCTGAGATCATGGCAGGTGTCCCTGGAATGAGCTTTGATGTCCCTTCCCACCCAAACTGGTCCAGGATTCTGGGATTTGGGACACTCAGAATCCATCCTGAGGGATTTTTATGGAAAATGGGGATAGAAAAGAGAGGGAAAGGGAAGGGAGACCCTTCATGTCTTCCTGAGATTCCAAGTGAAGCCCCTGGGTCCATGAATTTCTTGGAGAGAAGATGGATCCAGTGTCAGGCTGGGAGAGCTGGGAATGTTCCCCTGGAGAAGGGAAGGATCCAGGGAGAGCTTCCAGCACATTCCAGGGCCTGAAGGGGCTCCAGGAGAGCTGCAGAGGGACTGGGGACAAGGATGGNGACAGGACCCAGGGAATGGCTCCCACTGCCAGAGGGCAGCCAGGGATGGGATCTTGGGAATGAGGAATTCCTGGCTGGGCTGGGATTGCCAGGGCAGCTGGGGCTGCCCCTGGATCCCTGGAATGTCCAAGGCCAGGCTGGACATTGGAGCTGGGAGCATCCCAAGGATGATCTTGAGGTGTCCCCAAACCCATTCCCTGGTCCTGCGAGCACTGAAGGTGCTGGAGGAGGAGCGGGAGCAGCTCCTGCCGTGTCCTGCCCTGGGGATCTCAGCTCTTGCTGGGCAGACTTGGAGCATGTGGTGGCCCCAAAGCTGCTGCAGGAAATGTGATGGAGCCTGTCTGTCAGAGCTACAAGTGCCTAACATATGGATTTGGGAAGTGTTATCCTCACGTTTTGGTGGGGTTACGTGGGGACTCGAGTTGCTCATTCAACGGCGCTGAACTCCAGCAGGATTTTTCTGTTCTCCAACAGTGAAAAGTGAGATGGTGCTGCCTTGTCACAAACTGCTCAGGACATTGCAAAGGTGCTTTAATTGTGATAATTGGTTAGTAGGGAATGATAGGAGCAGGTACAGTGCAGTACGTTTAGATGATGTTATACAACAAATATAGGAGTAAAATCATAACAAGTGATGAGGGTTGATATTACAGAATCCCAGAATAATGAGGTTGGAAGAGACCTCTGAGATCATCAAGTCCAACAACCTATGCCCTAACACCACAATTAGACTATAGCACCAAGTGCCAAGTCCAGTGTTTTTTTAAACACATCCAGAGATGGTGATTCTACCACCTTCCTGGGAAGACAATTCCAGTACTTTATTATTCTTTCAGTGAAATTTTTTTTCCTAATATCCAACCTAAACCTTCCCTGACGTAGCTTGAGACTGCGTCCTCTTGTTCTGTCAGTGTTTAGCTTTCTGATATTTCCTGTCATTTGAAACTTGCCATATGAATTTAATAACTCAAAAATAACTCTTCTTATCCTGGTTGTGTGGGTAAGTCAGTTTTTATTGCCCTGAGGCTCATGCTTTTTTTTCTGGGGGAGGAGCAGGTTGTTTCCCTCCTTACCTGGGGTGTCACAGTGGGCTCTAATATTATGTTAGTCCAGTTTAATTACTGTGGAGTTATCTATCAGTGGGTTTTGTCTTCCCTGTAGCCCAAAGCAGGACATTTTTAAAGTGAGCAATGCTGATGGAGGGAAGGGAATGAGGAGAAAAATCCTCGGGAATGTTCAGACAGTAAACCTGAGCTGAAATGAGTCCCCTGAGCCCACAGAGAGGTGACCTCCCCATATCAAAAAACAGGACATGAAACCACCTGCCCTGCTGTGAGCTTGGGGAACGTTCCAGTGTTGGAACTCCAAATGTCCCTCAGACATTTTTGGCTGTTCCGGGCCCAGGTCAGAAGCATTTGAGACCCTGGCAGGCAGCTGCAAACAGCTGGGATTTTGGGTTTGAGCCATGGAATGATTTACCAACCTTGCAAGAAGAGCAAGAAATCACAAAATTTAGATATTAGAGTAGAAGTAGAGGGAAGAATTTTTGAGTGCTCTACAGGAGGTTTTGGTTTTGTACATGGGGTCAGAGGTTTAAGATGGATTTGGGATTTGGGCCTGTCCTGTCCTCCCTCTTTCTCCTTCCTTACCTCCATGTTCTTGGTGATGTTGGCACTGACAGATTGGTTTAGAGTAGAAAATCACCATTTAATGTAGGAAATAGGCATTGAGATAAACTGTGAACATGTAACACGTAATGTACCATATAAAAGATAGAAAATCACCATTTAATATAGGTAATAGGCATTGGGATAAACTGTAACCATGTAACACGTAATGTACCATATAAAAGATAGAAAATCACCATTTAATATAGGTAATAGGCATTGGGATAAACTGTAACCATGTCACACGTAATGTCCCATATCAAAGACAGCAGCAGCCCTGGGTGGGAGAGAAGAAGCAGTCGGGGTCAGAGAGGATGTCAGGGTGTGTGTGTGCCTCTGCCTGAGCTCTGAGCAAACCACAGCAGCCCCAGAAGAAAATCTTTGAGATAACTTGCAATAAACTGCCTTGAGACCCAAAACAGAGACTGCTGAGCCTTTCTTTGGAAGCTCGGGTGGGAGGAGAGACTTTTCCACCACACGGAGCCACCCCTGACCCAGGGTGAGCTTCGACATTCCAGAAGCTGAGCAGAGCTGTTGCTGTGCTTCCCAGGTTGCTGCTGGAGCTGCTGGAGCTGCTCTTTGACAAGTTCAACGCCGTGGCCGCCGCGCACTCGGTGGTGCTGGGCCACCTGCAGCAGACCGTGGCCTCCCCCTGCAGCCAGCACGACGGGGAGATCAAGCTCTACGACATGGTGGACGTGTGGGTGAAGATCCAGGATGTCCTGCAGGTAAGAATCCCTCAGGTGGGCATGTTTTCAGCTTGGAGCATAGCTGTAACAAATGCAATATAATACAAAAAACCCCATGTCTTGGTTTGAAAAGACAGGAGTCTGTGAAGGAAGGCAATGGAAAAGGTAAACCCCCTCTCTCCGAATTACTACAATTTTAAAATTAAAAGGCTCTCAGGCAAAGATATGGGAATGGGAATAACAGTTCTTTACTAGGAAAAAAACTTAATAAAAAAAATATAATTAGTACAAACAAAACTACTGATAGAGTCAGAAACCTGACACCCTGAGGAGTCAGGGTGTTGGTAATAGTCCAGTTAAATGGTGGCTGCTCCTCCTGGAGTGGCAGATGAAATGCTGCTGAAGAGGTGATGCTGTAGAAGGGTGTAGTTTTCTCTGAAGGTCTGGTAGTAGTTGGGCCTGGTCTTCTTTTGGGGATCCAGTGGGGAAGAAGCTGCTCCTCTGGGAATCCAGCGAAGGGGCTGCCCAGTGTCCCAAAAAATGCTGATTTTATGCAGGTAGGGCTGCTTGGCTCCTCCCTCTGGGTGGAGCATCTCACAATGGGATGATTTTACCAGTCATACTTAATGGTCCATTAACAGAAGATATCTCCCCAGAGAGAGGCATTGTTCTTGGGAGAGATTAGAAAACTGCCCAGCCTCCAACAGATGGCAAATAGAATACATGCTTATTCTACAAGCCAGGACACCCCATAAAATACACAAATAAATACAAAACCCCTTTAGAACCCTGCCAGAGAATACCTGTTGTGCTCAACGCTCAGCAGTGCTGGGATTTGTCTTTGGGTTTTTTTGGTAAGTGGCCACATTTAGAACAGATTGTAGAACTCCAAAGAGCTTAAATATCAGAAAAAAAAAAAAAAATTCCTGTGGATTCATCCTTATGGTGTTTGGAAAGGTTGATTCCTTTTGCCTACCAAGTGATTTATCAGCAGCTTTCAAAGTGACATTTTTGTTCTGTGTTACCATGTCATGCCTGTCTTATAAAGTGTCACAGCTCTAATGGCTTGTCTTCTGCTGTCATTATGGCTGGGTTTAGGCAGCTCAGACACTTGCTGCCGGCGTGTTTGCAGCAAATTCTTTTTTGATTCTTCCTCTTAACTGCAAGAGACTAAAGCTGTGCCTTGCTTAGGCTTTATTCAGGTGCTGTGCCTCTCACCCAGGGATCTGTGGCTCTCTCAGGCAGCAGAGCTCTCATCTGTCACATCTGTTCTCTCATTCTTGCTGTGCTGTACGTTTTGTGTTACGCTAAACACATGTTTAATATTGTTTTTAATTTATTTATTTGGAGATTACCTTTCTACATGGTGCACAGATGTGGAACTTCACCTTCCTTATGATAGAGGAGGTCAAAGAAGTGAGCCTGGCGTTATTTACAGGAGGTGGAAGGATTTATGTTGGTCATTCCAGCTCTGGGCTGGTGATGGAAAATGCTCTCTGCCTCCTGCCCTACTCACTTTTTCAGTTTTGGACTGCTTTGTAGCTGTTGCTCTGCAGGATTGTTTTACTGTGCAGTGATGCAGGTTTTTTTTTTTGCCTTACCCAAATATCTCAAATGACTTTAAACACTTGGACATGATAAATGTAAGGTGTGGGCCTTCAGTCCCCTTTACTGACTCCTTACCCACATATTTGTCTTTCTAGAGGAATTCTTATCAAAGAAATCTCCATCACTTTTCCCTATGCCACAAACTTGCAGCTCCCTTCAATACTCTTCTTGAAAAAATTTCCTTGGAAATGTCCAGCCAGAGGTTCATGAGGGGTTTTGTGAACACCAGAAAATGTCACACAGCTGAAGTGGGAATAAATAAGGGAAGAATAAAAGAGAATAATTAAATTTAAGGATATGTGGAATGGCTTTGGGTGGGGAATCTGCAGCCATCTTCCTTTGATCCATGAGGCCCAGAAAAACTTTGAGCTTGGAGTTCTGCAGATTTTTCTCCAGAAAGACAAAACCTTGGAGTAAGAACACTCCCAAGCTTATTCCTCCAGTGTAACAGAACATCAAGGCTGGATATTCCCATCCTCTGTGGGAGTTTGGGATGGGTTCTGTCAAAAAATGGGAGTGATTTCTATGGCTGTTCCTGAACAGCATTGCTGGAACTCAGAGCCTGTGGAGGTGTGAGCACTGAGGAGTGCAAGTGCTTTCTGTGCTGGGCAGACAGTGTCTGACCAAGATCTCTGGAAAAAGTGTGCCAAGAAAAACAATAACATCCCACTTGGAAAGGTTTCATCATTCTTGGGTGTCAGGGGGAGTTGGAAAAGCTTCCAGAAAAGCTTTTACAATGAATAAAAGCTGCACTTTAAGATCCACAATCTCTTGCTGGTTTAAGGTAAGAGATGAGCACTGACTGGCATGAAAGGGAGGAAATGCTGCATTTCTTTGTTCAAAATCTTGTTAGTGTTTGTACCTTAGTTCCACTGGAGTGGCTTAAAATATTTTTACCTTAAGAGTGTAAGAAAACCTTTGATCCCAAAGCCTAAATTATCTCTAGCCTGCTTTTCTGTGTCAGGATAATTTTTGGAGAGGAGATCTCTAGGTTTGCAGCAGAGGGAGCAGAAAACTCAGTTTTAAAAGTGCTTAAAGGTGTTGGGGGAAGCTGAAAACTTGGAGGAAGTGGCTCAGGGAAGTGATGCCATTCCTTCAAGCCCCAAAGAATGGAATTTAGTCAGCACAGCAGAACAATCTCACACGAGGGCAGTTCCCAGGGATAACGTTCTGCATTGTGTATGTCTGCATGTGGAATTCCTTGCAGCAGGGTTATCTCCTGGGTCTTCACAAAATAACAGGAGCTCGTGGTGGGCTGTAAATTGGGTTTTGTGGGGGTTGAGTTGTTTTCTGCAGCTCATTTTTGGAGCTGGATTTCTGAAAGCTCCCTAATAACTGCACCAGGCACTCTGGTGTAGTGTGAGAGGTGGCTCAGCGTGGAGCATGTTGAGGTATAAAACATGCAGATATGAAATATTTTTGACCTTCTTTGAGAATGGAGAAATAACAAAGAACACAGATGACCTTTTCCAGTTGGTAGGGCAGTGCTAAAAAACAAACAAAAGCAGTTTGTCAAAATATTAGAGCAGCCTTGTTCAGGAAAACACTGTTTGAAATTATTTCCTTGTCTCACAGCCAGTGTAGCCCTTGGTCATTTTGTTCCATCAATGGGGGGAAATTTGTTTAAATTTTAACTTAAAAGTTTGGCATTTTCTGCGGAGTTAATTGAGCTCTTAAGTGGAGGAGTGGATGGAACATCTTCCTGAACAACTTCATTAATGCAGGCTCAGGGCTTTGGCTGGAGAGAACTGGGAGCCTCGTGCTGATGTCAGTGCTTGTGTCAGGATAAATAGTGAGTGAATTCTGAGGTTTTCTGGGATGATTCCTGTGCTGGATCATACAGGAATGTTGGAATGAGTCTCTCTGCTCTGGAGCCAGCCTGGGAGAGCTGGGGGTGCTCACCTGGAGAAGGGAAGGATCCAGGGAGAGCTTCCAGCACATTCCAGGGCCTGAAGGGGCTCCAGGAGAGCTGCAGAGGGACTGGGGACAAGGATGGAGGGACAGGACCCAGGGAATGGTGCAGGACCCTGCTGCAGGAGAAGCCACCAATGACTTGTCCTGTTGGTGACATGACCAGTTAACAGCTCAGGCTGGAGCTGTTTGCCTCCAAGGAAGAGATCTTCTCTCCTTTCTCAGTGGTGAATTTGTAGTTGATGATTCTCAATTTTTTGGGGTCTGTATTTTTCTCCCTCCCACAGAAGAGAGGGAAAATCACACCTATTTTCTCTGGGACATAAATCTTTAGCAGGCTCTCTGGTGGGCTGTCTGCTGAGAAGACACTGACAACTAATATGTTCCTTTTTTGGGGGTTTTTTCTGTCTAATGCTTTCCTGTGCTTTCCAAAATTGGTGTCTTTTAGCAGCCCAAACATTGCTGAAACCATAAGGACACTGGGGAAGGAGGAGCTGAAGCCTCCTCTCTGCCCACACACTCCTGTTGTGCTACTGCAGAGCTGGGGATAGACACTGAGCCTTGAGAAACCTCCCTCAAGGATGCTCCACCATCCTCATGTCCTTCCTTATCCAAAGGAATGGCATTTGATGGAGGGAGCAGGGGAATGGGATCATTTTGTGCCTCACATCTGGGCCAGATGCTGGGCAGTGGGAGTGATCTGCCAGAAAAGCTGCATTTAAATTGTGTTTGCTGTGTCACACATGGCCAGGAGTCCTGGGAGAGCACTTGGAGATGAATTTCAGGGCTCTGCTGCAAGAACCTGAGTCCCTGTCTGGTTTTTAAGGGAATTAATGGCATCAAATCCTGGCCAGCTTGGGCACCCAGGTGAGCAGGGGAATGTCTGTGCAGTTCAGCTGATGCCCTGTGAAGGCAGAGCTGAAACAGAGGCTGGACTAAAGAATAAAGCAGGGATTTATTCAAATGATCTCCTCCATGGATCCACCTTGGGCAGCACCAGAGCCCAGCCAGGGCTGCACCCAAATGAACCAAAATGGTCCCAAAATGAACCGAAATGAACCAAAATGGTCCCAAAATGAACCCAAGATGACCCAAAATGGTCCCAAAATGCACGAGTGCTCCCGGGGGCTCTCCCTGGGATCAGTTCTGCTCCATTGGCACCTTGGAGTTCATTCCCATTCCAGCTCCAGCCCATCAGTCCCTTCCTGCTTGTTTTTCTCTCTCCAGCCCACGGTGTTTGTGCTCCTGGGCTGAGGTTTGGATCATTTGTCCTTGGTGCCCAGCTGGAGCAGGAATTGTTTTGTGTCCCTGCTCTGTGCACAGAGCTCACCATCCCATCATGAGAAGCTCAGACCCACACACCAAAGCAGCTCAGAATGTGAAAATAGAAAAGCCAAACCTGAGGCCTCCCAGCCACGTGCCCAGGTGCCACATCCCCAGGGCTTTGCCATCCCTGCAGGAATGGGAATTCCAGCCCTGCCTCGGGCAGCCCACCCCGTGCTTGGGAACCTTTCCATGGA